TATAATTCAAAGTCAAGAACAAGTCCTTTAGAAGTAGTAATCACAAAGTTTTTTAGCCCAACTGGGCGAGGTTTATTTTTTACGAATTGCCTATGTGGACATCTACCAGTAAATGGTACCATTTGTTCATCAATTGAATACATTCCGATGTATCGTGGTATTTCCCTACATGCTTTTTGAACACAATCAATTATTGGTTGTACTTTCCAAAATTTACTTGTATTTCCTGCAGGACGGTTATTTACATCAACATAATGTAAAAACGTACGTATAGAAGTAAATCTATCTCTTGTTATCACAGATGAAATTAAGTCTAAAGTAATACCTCTCTGCCAATACATGTTAAGCCTTGGATATTTAATAATTCCCATTAAAGCTTGAGCACCATAAAAAACTTTAATTTCATTAGGAGTCGTTTTCAATTCCTTCCCCTTTTGAGCTAAAGCATACATATTAGTATACATAGAAGCTTTTTCAAAATGTAAATTAGGAAAGTATTTTTCAACATAACTTATAGGTAGGCCTATTTCAATAAAATTATGTGGCCCATAAAATTCAGGTAGTGGTATAGTAGCAAAGGGTGTTTGAGACCATCCTATGTTTGGTGAAACTTGAGCACTATTGGAAGCATTTGTAGTTAAGATGTTAATACCATCATTAGAATTAGAAGCTACATTAACGTGATTTGTATTAATATTATTGTAAATATCACTTATAATGACATCATTGTCAATATTTGTAATATTTATGTCATCTGTATTAAAAATAGTATTAACCTGATCTTCATCAGAATCCAATCCAGAACAGTCAGATTGCCCAATATTTGTTGAAATTGTAGGTTGCCATGTTCTGTCAACATCAGAATCATCACTAAAATCGTCCAATTCGGATTCGTCGTTTAAAACGGAAAGTATATCACTCGCATTCAATTTCGCACGACGCATTTTAATACAAAGTTATAAAATTATGTGATCACAAGAAAAAATACAAATAAACAACTAATCTACACATACGTGTAGGTTCACGAAAATCGTCTGTATCTCTTAAAAGACAAACGGTTACTGTCCGTATGCACCACAATTATAATCTTATACTTCATACATCGAAGAATATTTTACGATTAGACTATTATCGGTAAAAGCCACAACATAAAAACAAAACAAAAACAACATTATAATGCAGTGAGAACAATGAATAAAAATTTTGGGTTATTTTTAGAAATATCCAGTAGTTCATGTTTATCCATATGTAAACATATAGTATTTTATCTACACAATCGTGTTGTATAGGTGTTAAAACGCTATCTAAACTAGTTTAACCACAATAATTTTTCTAACTGAAATACACATTTGTGTAGGTTCGTTGTTAGTAGACTAAAAATAAATATATTATTTAGGATTGCAATAGGTCTAAGTTTACCTACACATTTGTGTGTGCTAGATATTAAATACACTTAAGCAAAAATAATAACTCGTAGTGAAAGGGTTAAAATACCAACAACAGCTTTAACAACATATTTATTTTTATTATTATTTATTTCTTCTTCTAATGCATTTATTATTGATTCATAATTAATTTTAACATTATGGTAATTTTAGTACCTACATGCCCATATAGTAGTACTTAGCTGTGTAAGTTCGTGTGGTTTTAACCTCAATTTTTTTTTTTTGCATTCGAAATATACTAAAATACTGTTGTATATTATTAAAATCATTGTCTAAATTAAGATACTTTTCCACACAACTAACCAGGCAGTTATTCACTCGTCGGCTTTATGACGTCGAATGACTATTATATTTCATTATCTAGTTGAATAATTTTTTTTTCTAATTTCGGATTTTAACTTAAGCATTTTTCATTATTTTAGCTACAATAGGTATCAAATTATTAAACTTAAAATAAAAATAAAAAAGTGTTATTATGCCTTTTAAAATTTAAACAGTATATTTGTGAATGATATACAAAATATTAGATACATAACTATGGTATGTATTTGGGAGGATAATTGAAAACTTAGGGGGCTTAGCTCCCCCCCAAGCCCCCTCTAGCACCGCCTATGAATAAGGTAGTAATCGTGGGAGGGGTTAATTTTGCTTAATATTGGTTTTGGTTACACCCGTTTCCTCAGATTAGAATTGTATAATACAAAAACATAAAACCAAATTTCATAGTTATAAATTATAATATAATTTTCTATATTATTGATAAAAATATTCATTATCCTCTTGATAAAAATAAATAAATTAATAACAAGCATTTCAAGTACATAAACGTTCAATCGTAGTCAACATAGGATTAACTGAAACATTGAAATGTCGGTTCAAAAGATTGTTTTATTAGTACTGATGTACAAACTATACAATCGAAAACTATGATTATTATCATTGTACACACTTTCAAGAGCTTAGCTACACCTAAATCTTTAGGTAAAAGTGCTATATTTTTTTAAACAATTTAGTTATTGGGTTATTAGTAGAAGCAGCAATTATGCTGCTGTTGATTACAACAGATTTGTCTTTGTTTATAAATATTTTTTAATATCATTTGAACATCTGTGTTTTATATTAAAGGTAGAATGATATTTTTGACAGCTTTACAACTGATAAACAATCCAAGTGTTTTTTTTTTACACGGATATTTTATTACAATATTTTTTATAAAATTAACATAAATGTGTAATAATTTAAAATAGAGTAAAGTTTAGAAACAATTATGAATCATTAAATCAATAAATTACCTTAATGCTTAATTATATAATGTGTTGTTATTTGTTAATATATTACCTTGTGATCTTCGTGACGACTACTCAGCTGATGTTTGTCGTGAACACAGAATAAGATGACCAATATATATTTAAATAATGAAATAAGATTTAAAACTACTAAACTTTTTATTTATAACACTTGAACACGTTTATGTTTATATTTTTGAAATAATTTATTTTATAACAGTATCTTTTTGCATAGACCAGGCGTGCCCAACCCGCGGCCCGCGAGTGTTCCGACCGGCCCGTGACCATTTTATAAAAATTAGAAATTTGTATAGGTGTAAAAATAAATTATTATTTATAAAAAATTTTATTTTATTAAGCTTTTAAGAATCACAAAATATATTACAGTTTTTAATTTTAATATAAAAAAATGTATTTGGAAATTAGTGTGAAATTTGAGCTTATTTTTTTTAACCAATCTTTCAATATTCGGAGTGAAATTTGAAACGCCAATTGTTTCGAGACAAACTGATATTCTCGAATACAGACATTTTTTCTGAAATAATTACTTTTATACTTGCTAAGATACATTTTTTAACGAATTCACCAACACTAAAACTTTTATTTTCGCGAAATATCAGATTAGCTACTTCCTAACTTGCTCGAATGATCTCATCCTTACCTTTATTATGTTTTTCAAATATATTTCCTACTTGTTCACTTTTGAAATTTTGTTTGAATTTTTCTAACAAAGAAGTTCTAAGATTCCCTAAAAATATAAATTTAAGCATTTATTTCAACATTTTACTTAGCAAAATATCTAAATACCCTCTTCAAAAAAAATAAAAAAATTATGATAAATATTTACCTTTACAATTGACGTATTTGTTTTGATGTTTACTTTCATAATATCTTTTAATATTAAACTATTTTAAGACCGCGACGGTTTCGTAGCATATCAAACATATGGCTTTATTATGATACTCAATAAAAAAAATAACTGAGACTCCAATTATCATTAAAAACACGGCATTCGATATCAATTTTGCGCTTTTTATTTTGAGACATTTTAATGTGAACACAAAAATGTGAACTAACAGTTTCTAATAACGAAAACAAACCAACAACTATAGCGTGAAAATATTCAGTACTTTAAACACATACGATTAAAGTCATAAATTCAATAAGTGATAATATTATATCCTATCGTAGTCTATAATTTATTCCGGTCATTTATTCCGTGATCGGAAAAAATGTACAATAGATATACCTAATGTCTTAGTATCGTAGTCTTTTACCCTTGCTTTTGAGCATCTATACAAAAGGATCAGAATAATAACACTAGTGCGAGGCTGTGGCCGAAAATTGCCTTCTTATATGTTATGTGTGTGTGTGTGTGTGTGTGTGTGTGTGTGTGTGTGTGTAATGTGTTTGACATTTCAGTCTTTTGATAAAATAATGTCACTATTTAATCTATTAATTTAATTAAAATTTATATTCTTAATGTCTATTAATTATAATTGATTTATGATATATTTTAAAGCTAAAAGATACATGATGGTTTAATCACACATCATTACAAATGTTTTATTTTGCCTATTTTAAAATAACAATTTAGAATGTTTAAAAAAAACTACAATCAACAAAATACATTAATATACAACTGATACAAATGAATACTAAACATAATGAAAATTATTTAAAGTCGAGTAAAAATTCCTACATTTTGCTGTTTCAAGATAATTAAAATATTTAGAGGAACACCTGTTAGAAAATCAAGACGTTTGGTCATATTAGTTATACATGTATGTAATAGCTTAATAAATAATAGTTAAATATTTTTAATTACAATTTTTCATGAAATAAAGGTTGTATAACTGATCTTATTCTGATAAAGATTTCTTAAATTATTTATTAGTCATTCAGAAGATAAATTTAAAGGCTAATAATGAAATGAATAATTCTATTTGATTTCTTTAGATATTAATAAGATACATTTTATAAGTAGCTGTCTAATATTATCTACTAATTACACATAATATGACTGTAATTTTTGTCTAATAATAATTAAATATATAATGTGGTTAAAAAATGCTTCAATTATTTAAATAAAACAAGTGTTGAATCTAAAATTTAAATAAATAAATACTAAGTAAATTAACAATTTTTTTCTAAGATATAATAATTATTTACTAATGCATTACTATTTAAATAAATCAATAATCAAAAATTCAAAATCAATACTAACATTTAAGTACTGAATAATTTATATTTTGATGTGTAAGGATGTGTAAGGCATACTTGCCATATAATAAAATACATTTTAAAATAAAGGTTCTGTTTTGAACATTCATCATTTTTATTTATAATAAAATAGTTAAAACTTAAATAGTTTTATCTTTTATAAATGATAAATGTTTTTGATAATATTCAATTAAAGCTTGTGGGCACATTTTATGAACAGCTTCAGCTGGTGCTATGTCAGGACCTTCATTCTCTTTAAGCTTCAACTCTATCATCACCTGACCATTCTTCATTTTAGCAACACGCATTACTTTATCAGCGTTCTTATTAGGCTTTGACCCATTTCCTGTGCTGCTTAACTGATTATCTTCAGACACATTAAATTCTACACGTCTTTTTTTCAATGGAAGAGAAGTATTTTTACATCTTCTAGATGGACCAGCTTCTGATGTAGATGGGCCAGTGTCAGATATAGAAGGCTCAGCATCGGATGTAGAAGGCCCAGCGTCAGATGTAGAAGGCCCAGCGTCAGATGTAAAAGGCCCAGCGTCAGATATAGATGGGCCAGCGATAGATATAGAAGGATCAACATCGGATGTAGAAGGCCCAGCGTCAGATGTAGAAGGCCCAGCGTCAGATGTAGAAGGCCCAGCGTCAGATATAGATGAGCCAGCGATAGATATAGAAGGATCAACATCGGATGTACTCGTAGAAGGACCAGCGTCAGATGAAGCATGATTTGACAGTTTGCGTTTACGTCTACGTTCTTCTTTATTAAACTTTCTAATTAAAACTGGACAGGAAAGATTCTCTTCAGGTTCCCAAGTATTAAAAATATCATCATAATCTTTCCACTTAAGAAAGTATTCGTTATAGCCATTACTTGCACGGAAATTTAAAATGTTTTCAACCACATAGTATATATCTTTGGATTTAGAACTAAAATAAAAATACATAAACATGTCGTTAATCAAATATAGAAATAGATTTATTATTTATTTTAAATATATTTGTTGCAAATAACAACCAAAAAAGTGTTACTAAACTGCTTTTGTATACGTGTAACCTCTACAAGTTTTCAAATCATATAATTTGTATGATTTAATATACATTATAGGTGAAATATTATATTTATAATAAAATTATACGCTATAATATTTTAGTTAAACATAAGTTTAATATTAATAAAAATAATTAAAACTACAAAATGAAAATTGTATATTTGTAGACTAAAATAAATATCTAATCTAATCATTGTAAGAATAAGTTTGCCAAATGGACAGGAATCCAATAATTTATACCCTACAAAAATCCCAAACATATTACCTAGATATGTAGAACATAAAATTACTAATGGCCAATGGGAAAACACGATTAGGTACGTAATAGGTATGTATTATCCATCTGTTAAAGCAGCGGTAGATCTTGGTCTTGTTCGGAGAATGAAATACTCGCAATTCGTTTTTTGAAAGACAACTAAATCACAACTATTTTTCAAACAAGTATTTAATTTTATTAAAATCAAAATTGACTGCGGCGATGGTTAGTGAACCTGAAAGTTGACACAAACCAGAACGTGTAAAAGAAAAGTCCAAAAATCGTTGTTGGCAAGTGGCCTGGGTGTAGAGGAGCTAAGGGGTGTTACATTTTCCCACGAGTTGGTCAGTTGGTACATTTGATATTGAGCCGCTAAGTTAGCAATTTAACACTTTCATAATAAAAGTTTTTTATAGTTAAAAAAAAGTTATTTAATTTAAATTAAAACATTTTATAACAGCTTATTTAGTTATTAGTTATATTATAAAATTAAAAATTTAACTAATAACCATGGTATGATTATGTAGGTATAATACATTAATGTTCTCTTTCGTGAATTCAATACTCGCGATAATGTGTTAAAAATAGATCAGGGGTTCAGTGCTTGTTTCTGACATTGGTTATCGATGTGTACGGTATTATTTAACACATTAGTGATCTACCTAAAAAAAAGGTCATCAGATAAAAAAAAAATTAGCCTAATAATATCTTATTTTACTTTATATATCGGGGTGGTGGGGGGGCTGCAGCCCCCCTGGCTACATCACTGATTTGTGATTATTACTAATCATAATAAACTGTAAACGCATTCAGCGTAAAAACGAAATATTACTTTATTATTTTGCTTTGATCTCGTTATATTATACGAAAAAACAAAATGAGTGACGCGAATAAAAGAAAAAAAACGGGTAAAGATAGAATGCATGGAATGCGGTATATAGTTAATTAAATGAGTATTTAAAAAAATCTTATAATGGCACACGTTTTGCCCCACATTTCCAAAAAGAGGAGTTAATTGATAACCTAATTAACGAAGTAAGAAGAATTATTGAAAAAGAAGTTTAAGAAGCAAGCTTATTATCAGTTATGGCCGATACAACCCTAAATAATTCAAACAAGGATCTATTGGCAGTTTGTTTGCATTATGTTAATGATGATGGAAAAGTAATTGAAAGATCTCTAGAAATAGCTGAAGGAGTAGACAAAACTGGCCTAGGAACAACTAAACAGATTATTGAAATTTTAACTAAACACTCTTAAGGTACAGATAATTTGCTCAAACGATCATGTTAGTAACATGTCTTGGCAGTGCAATGGTACACAAGCAAAGATTTCAGAATTGATTGGTCATAGTGTTTTTTATATTATATGTCAAACATACTAAATTGTTTGAACATGCATGCAATTTTAGTCTAATTGTGTCAGACATGATCGAACTTATACATATTTATTTCAGCTAGCAAAATAAAAGGTATAGTGTATTGAATAAAAAAATGTTGGATGTTGATAACATTACAATTAAAAAATTTATTCAAAACAAGATGGATAGCTTGCGCAGTCTATTAAAGCTGTTTGGACTTCATTCAAAGCTATAAGTAACACCTCGAAAAGTATTTGTTCAAATCTTATAATATGTGATAGAAATACTAAGTAAAATCATTTAGTATTAACAAAAAGATGCATTTGTTTTACTTCATTGTATTTTTGATATTCATGAAAAATATAATGTACAAATTTAAATCACTAACTGAGACACTAGAAAAGAAAAGTCTATGTAAAGTTAATGCTGCTGTTTTGATAGGAGGCTACAATTAAAAAATTTACAAGACATTAATTCAATTTTAGATAGAATAAATGATTTGATCAATAGTGCAAACTCCTTTGCAGTAAATCTTAGTATGAAAATCTGATTTCAAATTTCATCACCATAAAAGAAACCGGCCCACGTTGGACCAAAATATAGGCATTTAAGTTGATATAGCCTTTCATGTATTTTATAAAAAAGAATTAAAATGTATATTTTCTACACTTTTTAATTTATCAAAGGATAATTTAAAATTGTTTATTGATACAATAATGCCACTATATAAAATGTTATTGTTTCCATTCAAGAATGAAAATATTAGCATAGAGAATAAGCAAAATACTAAGTTAATATTTCCTTCCAATAATAATTTTGCTAAGTTGCAAAGATATCGAAGCAATTCAAGCTATTCTATTGAAAGAAATATGAAAAAATTTGAGTTCAATAATATTGATAATAACAACCACTTTTATTTGTATATAAAGTAAAACATATACTATTATTGACTAATAATATTTATCGATTAGCATTAACTGCACCTGGAAGTGTTACAACCAATTAACAGATGTTTAGAAGCTTAAAATTATCAAAAATCATTTAAGATCAACTATATCAGATAATAGGTTAGACTTATTAATGCTGTTAAACCTGGACATTAATTTATGATCGTTTCAAATATCTCCCAGCTATAGTAGTTAACATCTATCTTAATATTACTATCACCAATCACCATTAACCTAATTTTTGCAATGTATAGTCTAGATTATTTTTATTTTATTTTATTTTATGCTATCAGTCTGTTAATATTTACATATTTTAATTTATTGCTCAACTTTGTCATACAAAATATATATTAATGCTGTTGAGTATTAAAAAGTTATTTTGGATGGAGTTGATGTAAGATTAATAGCCAACACAGTTGTCTAATATGAAACAAAAAAAAGAATTCAATTTTTAAAATTCTATATTTGAATACCTACAAATTATTTAATATTAGCGATAAAATAATACTCATAAAATTTTATGTTGCAAGTTTTAATTAAATTTAACTTTATTTTATGATGTTTATGGCTAGAAATAATTAGTTATAATAATAATAATTTATCCAACTCAACTTAGGTAGGATACATAAATCCAAATTAAATGACCATACGAACTGCACTGATTACCACTCTTCTAAAGCATACTTATGATGAGGAAAGAGACTTCAGATATTGTTTATACAATAAATTATTAACAAAATTTTTTTAAATTAATGAAAATGAAAATTATTACCATAGTACTGAATAAAAATAAATAAAAACAGAATGGTGTACTCTAATAATTAAAGACGTGAATAAAAAGTATAATTTATTATTATTAATGATTATTTCTCTAAAGCAGGGGTCGGCAACCTTTTTAACCACACGGGCCATTTTTTTTTTTCAATTGTTCATCAAGGGCCACATTAAAAAAAAAAAAATTACATATTATGATATAATGCTTATAATTGTATTGCTATTATGAAACGGTTAGATTAGATTTTATTTATAAAGGAAAAAGAATTATATAATATTGAAAATTATATGAAAAATGTTATTGAACAAAAGTAAAACACAAAAATTAACCACCTTTGTGCGGGCCATCAAAAATTGCTTTGCGGGCCGCATGTGGCCCGCGGGCCGTGGGTTGCCGACCCCTGCTCTAAAGCATATATATTTTTTTAAATAATATCTTATCATTTATTGACTTAATATAATTTGGTTAATATTTATGAAATATTGCTATACCTCTCCTTTAGAAATAATATATAACCACTTATTAACCCAGTTACTCAAATCAGAATGTACTATTAGTTGGATCAATGAAAATATGTTTAATGATAATAATATTTCGAGCAGAGAGAGAATATTGTTTTTTAGAGTTGGAAAATTAAGAGTAAGTTCCCTATGATTTATCTTTCAGGGCTGCCCTGAACGTATGTGTATTGCATAATATTCTGCTTAGTTGCTAAGGACTATATAGCAAAAGTAAGACATAAAATGTAATACTGTCAACTTTAAAGTGGTTTGAGATCAGAAAATAATTGATGTATTATTTATCTGTTATTGATGGATTTTGTGATTTATTATATTAATGGACAAACATTTTTCTGTAACTACCATACGTGTGAAGACGTCATCGTCAAAATGACTGGGAAAAACTACACAATTCACAGACCTCAGTGGCTCAGTTACTCGCTGATTATATGGGGAACGGACAACATTTGCAAATAATGAAAACTGCGGGTAAAGACCGAGTTAACGGGATGTCTAAAGCCTACGTATATGCATAAATACTAGTTGTTACTCACCTGTTATTCATGTCGAAAACTTGTGAATGAAATGAACGAGAATCTGTGTACGATGTTGGATAAATCTGTGTACGATATTGGATAAATCAACCAGACGACAGGAATAAAGTAAAATATAAACCGTGAACACCAGAATAACGTAAACTATTGCTGCAAATTGCAATGTAGCGTTTTAATTATTTAATTTATGAAAAAAAATAAAGAATTATCGAACGGCTATCAACTGTTGATAATCTCCTCCATCTAAACAATGGTAATAATCGATAAACGAGCAAGAATGCGTCGACGAGGGCGTTGATAATATTGACAGTGTGTTCATAACGGGAGAAAAAAAATAATACGCGTGCCGACGTTTTTGACTAGGCTACCTGCCCCTAAAACAATAGGTAGGCGTCATGAACTATGTATGTGTGAATAGAGAATGGAATAAGTTTAAGTCATCGGAAGTAAACATTTTGTTGTACAATATCAATATCATAAACGAAAATACGCAACTAAATCAATTATCCGCGAGAATAAATTGTATTATTATTTATTTACACAGAAAATGAGTATTAGCATTGTGGTAACAATATTATTATTATTTGTAATTTTGTATATTTTATATCGTCGCTGTTATGCGTCTCTTTTTTATTGTATATCTTTTCTCTTTCACCAGCCGCCGTCGACCATCACGACGTCGCCATCTAGTGGCAAGACCTTTACTCTTTCACCAGCCGCCGTCGAACATCACGACATCGCCATTTAATGGCAAGATCTTTTCTTTTTCGGATAACGGACGTCACGAACGTACGTTATTTAGTCACGACGTCACAAGGCTCTTACCACTTAAGAGGTCGGCCTCCTTGACTACACCACCAAAATTATATAATAGTACGTATAAATTGAAGATTCTATTAATCTAATCTAGTGAAAATAAATTTAAAAATTGTTTATTTGTAAATTGTATAAGTTGAAGATTCTATTAATGTAGTAAAAAAAAAAAGAGACTACCTTAATGAGAGGATACCATACAAATAATATTACAATGTTATAGGGACGTATGGCAAGGCCACATAAAAGTTAATTATAATAATAATTATAAAACAAATACAAAAAAAAAAAAAGCAGAAAAATGGAAATAGATGATAACGATATCACAGATATTGTGTTTATATTATGTTATAAGATAATGTATGTGTAGTACTGATAGTTTTAATAATAATAATAATGATAATAATCGGTTAGGTACAATACAATTAGTGTATCGTAAAGGTAAATGTAATATTTACGCGATTCCAGTTCCCGATAATTTGTAGTTATGTAACGGTATAATGACAGTATCACAGTGAGATCACTGGTAAGCAATACACGCGTATGCGTCAGTACAACATCGCATACTGTATAGACATTTTATAATAGTTAATATTTGATGGGCACTCGAGAACCCGTCGACACGAATATTGCGAATGAGATGTAGGTACAAAAATATAATATTCTGGTTTAGAATCGAACCTAGTGTGTCTTCTGTTGAACTACATTCTTCCTACTTTGACCCAAACCATTAAACATCATAATCAAAAATGTTTTATCAAGGGAAATTATATTTTCTCATATTATTCTAGCAAATATGCCAGCAAAAAAACGAATATAAAATCCAATTGATAGTTAATAACAGACTTATTTTTATTCAATGACACTGGAATGTCAACTGTAGCATTTCTGTACATAAGTAATAAGTGTAGGTAAGTGTTTTATAATACTGATTTTATATTAAATATAGATAATAATAAAACGTGTAGAAAACTCAATTGATATTTAAAAGCCGATTTGGCAAACAAATTCACCTAGAACGTCATTAAATTTTGCAATTATGTATACATTTTTTAAAAAATTCAATAATACGTAAAAATCTCATGTAGTTAAAATATTTATGTATCAATCAGAAACCAGGAGAAAAGGTAAATTGGTCGAATCTCGGTAACTTCTGGTGATAACTCTAGCGTATCTGTCCACATCGTCATTTGTTGAGGCAACCATGCTGGTCTACTCCACCATAAATCTAATTTAGATATTGTACTTGCTTCAACTTCCTTTGTGATTAAATCGGCAGGATTATAATTAGTTGGCACATGATGCCACTGATGTGTATGTAAAGTCTGAAATCCTAGCCACTCGATTTACAACATATGAGGTAAGTTTTTTGTTTGAATTAATCTATGCAATGACAATAGTAGAGTCTGACCAACACCATTGATTGTCGGTTGAAATAATAATGTTTAACTTTTCAAGTTTAGATGAATCATTGTGCATTAGTTCAGATAATAAGGCTGTATCACATAGTTCTAGCCGTGGAACTGTAATTGGAACTCTTGATTTTGCTGTATAACGGTAAACTGTAACTGAGCCATTAATATTGATGGAGCGAAGAAAAACGCAAGTTCCAAAAGCTTCTTGAAAATCTTTAGAGAAACCATGCATAGACGTTTCTTTGTAGTTACTAGAGACTATACGTCTAGAGATAGACAGTGTTTTGAGCGGATAGAGGCTTGAATAAAATTTACTCTACTTAGACTGAAAATCAATCAACAAAAATTACTCTAGACCGACTTAGACTACAGAACTCTAGAACTCTAATCCATTTCCTAAAGGGAAATGACGCAGAGTTCCACACTTATCAGCTCCAATCCGAAAAATCGTTTAGAATTGTTATAAAGAACCTCCACCCCACTACCTCAGTATCTGAAATCTCCTCAACAATTGAGGAGATCGGTTTCGCGACTAGACAAGTCACAAACATTAGATACAATCTAACTAAAAACCCTCTCCCTTTGATCTTGAGCCGGACTCAAGTAACCAAGATTTCTTCAAAGTCACGTCACTCCTACATACAAAAATTAAGGTCGAAGAACCGCACAAACGCCGGGAAATCCCCCATTGTTTAAACTGTCAATCATACGGTCACACCAGGGCATACTGTGCTTATGCTCAACTCTGAGTAAAATGCGCCGAATACCATCACACCTCAACATGCAACAAATCACCAGACACTCCTGCTACCTGCGCCCTATGTAGCGGGAATCATCCAGCCAACTATAAAGGCTGCACCGTGCATAAAGAACTTCAAAGCTGTCGCCGTCAACCATTCACCACTACCAAACTCAATCAATATTATCAACAACACTAGCCCACTCTACATCCAGCCCAGCCAAGCAGTTCAACAGTCAACCATCCGCCGCCAAATCCACAAGGTAGATCTTATGCAAATGTTTCAGGTACCTCTACACAACACATAGCTCGCCAACAAATCCACCTCCTCTCATTGAGAATAATGCTCTTTCAAATTTTATAAACGAATTCAAGTCCATCATTAATCCCCTGATCACTCTCCTTACCTCTTTAATAACTTAACTTCTTGCCACCTAACAAAATCCCTTATTCATATACTTCCAACTCTCTTCTCATACTCACTTGGAACGCAAACGGGCTCAATAGTCATAAACATGAATTACTAGCCACATTACAAAACAAAAGAATTGACGTAGCACTTATTTCTGAAACCCATTTCACCAACACTTCTACTCTTAAATTACCCGGTTATAAATGCTTTCACACATGCCACCCTGATGACACAGCCCACGCTGGAGCAGCAATAATTGTCAAATCCACACTACAAATCTTCCCTTTACCTAATTATCAAACACCACATATACAAGCCTGTACCATATCTTTAACACTAAACCATCAACCTATTACATTATTAGCAACATACTGTCCACCACGCCACAATATAACACCAAATCAATTTAACGACTATTTTAATTATCTCGGATCAAAATTTACAATAGGGGGAGACATAAGTGCTAAGCATACTCAATGGGGATGCCATACAAACAACCCCCCGTGGCAATCTCCTACACCGCATCATAACACTCCAGCAATATAAAATACTCTCACCCTCTTCTCCTACGTATTGGCCCAATTCGCCCAGAAAAAGACCCGACATACTTGATATTTACATAAGGAAAATCTCAAATAGTTTTAACTGTCACATAATAAACCTAAATGAACCCTGCTCAGACCACTCCCCCGTTCTACTGACAATTGACACGTTACTCCCCATTAAACCTCTCCCTCCATCCCTCACGAATGGCAATATGGATTGGGAACACTTTCAACTTACACTGGATAAACAAATAAATCTAAAAACTCGTTTTAAATCTCCATCTTATATTGATGATGCAATTAACACGTTTACCAATTCCATCCAAACAGCCGCCTGGTCGTCGTCTACTCCAATACCACCAAAATCCACAAATCAAAACCTCCCTACCTACGTTAGACATATAATTGCTATTAAGCGTCGTGCCAGAGCCGTCTGGCAAAGAACTCAGTATCCCTCTGATAAACGCCACTATAATAATCTAACGCGAAAACTAAAACGCACCCTCTCTGAAATTCGAACAGAGAGTTTTAATAAACATCTCTCCTCTCTTACCGCAAAAGGCAACTCGATATGGAAAGCTACGAAAAACATATTAAGAACTCCACAAAAAATCTATGTCCTCAAAAATTCAGACGGCACTTGGACAACAAGGATGAAGAGAAGACAGAAATTTTCCGTGAACATCTCTCATCGACTTTTAAACCACACTACTCATTACTCAGCCCCATCAAAGTTGATGAAATAAACACATCCCTTGACTCTCCTTTGCCTATGACAATGCTACCCAAATGTATATCTTCTCATGAAGTTGCATACTTAATTAATAAATTACAGAAATACAAATCTCCCGGGTACGATTTAATCACATCTGAATTTGCAATTCATCTCCCAAAAAAAGCGTTACTGTTCCTCACTTTTATTTACAATTCTATGATAAGGCTCACCTACTTTCCTCTACTCTGGAAATACTCAATAATAACAATGATCCATAAGCCAGGAAAACCAGCAGAAATGCCTTAATCATTCAGACCAATCAGTCTCTTACCCTACTTCTCAAAAATTTTCGAAAAACTGATTCTTAAACGCCTCCTACCAATTATAGAAAAAAACCTTCCTAATACTCAATTCGGATTTAGGCGTAATCATTCCACAGTACACCAGATCCACCGTCTTGTAGATAAGATCTCCTTTTCTTTTGAAGAAAAGCTCATATGCACAGGAGTGTTCCTGGACGTTGAACAGGCATTCGATCGAGTTTGGAACCAAGGGCTCCTCCGCAAAATTAAAGCAATTTTCGCTCCATACCTGTATTTACTTATTAAATCTTAGCTCAGCGATCGCCACTTCTCTGTGTGCTCAGGAACAATTCTTTAAAATATTCCCACTACTCAAAACACAATAGTAGCCGACTTCGCGGACGATAAAGCACTACTTGCATGTCACTCTGACCCAGACATAGCTGCTTCCTTTATGTAAACCCATCTTGACCTACTATCCCCATGGCACACAGAATGGGGCCTAAAATTAAACCAAACAAAATCATTCCACTCTACCTTTACACTACGCCTCAGAGAATGTCCACAACTATTTGAGTAACAAGATTTTTGTCATGTATTGTATGTAAATAATTTATGAATAAAGCGTGTTTAATTACTTTAACGACTAAAAACTGTTGTATCCAAGATTTCAGAAATCATATTTTTCATTACATTTCAATTTGTATTTCTTATTTTGGTCATTTTATTTTAATGAATTTTGACTAAAAGTTCCAACAAATGTGGGCACATCTCAGCCCATATGTATCATAATTTACTACTAATTACATCATTTAATTTTAATATCTACTTTTTAAATACAATTCTTATAGAATTTTGACTTAATAATTGCTTGTTTATACATAATAAATACTTACATGCATAGTTTTTATGGATTGTATTTATAACATTTCAACATCTTAAAGTCTTTAAGTCAGAGGTTCCCAAACTGTGCGCCGCGGCGCCCTGGTGCGCCGCGGTTTGTTGTCAGGGGAGCCGCGGCTGTGCCTCGCTGCCGACTATGTTATCTGGTCTAAAAATAAACAACGATATTTTACGTTGACGAACATCGTCATTTTTATTACCATTATCTTGATTCTTACAATAAGTTATTATTACTATACTAAACAATTATTGTATTTGATAAAGATAAACGACTGTTCGTGTCTGGTGAAATTCATTTCTGCGTTAGTACCTATTTATTAACTATACACTCCGGTATTAGTCTCGACATGTTATAACATTTTGTTCAAGTTTCTTAAGAATATATTATATTTAGTAAGTTCTGTGATTTTCTTTAAATTGTGACTTTGTTCTGTGTTTAATTATTATGGATCGATTTTTATTAAACAATCGTAAACGTACGAGTACATGTGAAGACGAAGAAATTTTACCATCAACCAGTCGCGGTGAAACAGCAAAAAAGCGAAAATGTCGTAAGTATGATAATAGTTATTTGGATTTTGGTTTTACGTCAACAGAAATTAACGGCGAAAAAAGACCACTATGTGTAGTATGTATGAAAGTTTTGGCACCAGAATGCATGTTGCCGAGTAAATTAAAGCGCCATTTAGAAGCAAACCACAAGTATATGATTGACAAACCTCGAGATTATTTTATTAGAAAGTTAAAAGAACTAAAACAGGAAAAAAGTACGTTTTTTAAGAATGCATCAATACCAACTAATGCTTTGATCGCATCTTATAAAGTATCCTATAGAATTGCGAAATGTAAAAAGCCCCATACCATTGCAGAACAGCTTATCTTACCGGCTGCTATAGATATGGTAAATATTATGGTTGGTGAATCTGCTGGGAAATTACTCTCAAAAGTGCCTCTGTCCAATAATACGGTTAGCCGCAGAATTCATCATATGGCGGAGGACCTCAATGATCAATTGATAGAAAAAATCAAAGAAAGCGAATTTGGGTTGCAGCTGGACGAGGCTACGGATACTAATAAGGATGCTCATTTGATATGCTATGTTAGGTTTATAGATGGTGATGACATGGTAGAAGACCTACTTTTTTGTAAAAATATTACAGCAAGCGCTAAGGCTCAGGACTTATTTAATATTCTTAATAATTTTATGTCAGAAAATATGTTGGATTGGACTAAATGCGTCGGTGTTTGTACTGACGGCGCTCGTTCCATGTCTGGCAGTTATGGAGGATTACAGTCACTTATTAGAAGCAAAGCCCCTGATGCACTGTGGACCCATTGCATTATCCATAGAGAAGCACTTGCGGCAAAATATCTGAGTCCCGCTCTGAACCAAGTATTAGAATGTGTAGTGAATGTAGTTAATTTTATAAAAACTCGTCCACTGAAAGCAAGATTTTTCAAAAAATTATGTGACGATATGGGAGCTGAACACTCAAGTTTGTTGTACTACAGCAGTGCACGTTGGCTCTCTCGTGGTAATGTTTTATCACGTACGTTTGAACTACGGCAAGAAATTTATATATTCCTTAAAGAAGAAGGGCACAAATATGCCGATGAATTTTCTGACGAAAACTTTTTAATAAAATTGGCATATTTGTGTGACATTTTTGAAAAACTAAATGCATTGAACTCCTCATTGCAGGGAAATAATACGCACATTTTGAAGTCGATGGATAAAATGACAGCTTTTATAAAAAAATTCAAACTATGGAGAAGACAAATGAATGAAGGCACAAGCAAAGATTCTTTTTCTATATTGCAGCAGTTTCTGACCTCTAATAGAGTTGAGATTTCTCAAGATATGAAATCCATTTTTGAAGATCATTTATCACAGCTAGTAATATGGTTTGAGAAATATTTTAAAAATGAAGACACTGATAAATTTGCATGGATTCAAGATCCATTTAACTCCATTGTTCCATCAGAATTTATTTCTTCTGAAGAAGAAAATCTAATTGAGTTGTCTTGCGACAGTAGTTTGAAATCAAAATTTACCAATATGGAATTGACCAAATTTTGGACTTCAATAAAAAATGAATATCCACTTATATGTGAAAAAGCTCTTCGTGTTTTAATTCCGTTTTCTACTTCATATTTATGTGAAGCTGGGTTTTCGGCGGTCGCTGTGATAAAAAGCAAATATCGGTCAAAAATCAATGTGGAGAAGGAAATGAGAGTAGCGGTATCAAGTTTGATCCCAAGATTTGAAAAACTATGCAGTGATGTCCAGGCTCATCCATCTCACTAATTCAATTGTTTTCTACAAATAAACTATGTCTAATTTACCTTACCAAATAAAATTAAAATTAAATATTTCATTGTATAATTATATAAAATAAATATTTTCATGTAATCTATTGAAAATTATACATGTTAATTATTTTATCTATATTATTTAAAAAAAAAAGTCGTAAATTTTATTAAGGGCGCCATGAGCAAACTTCAGTTCTAAAAGGGCGCCACGAGTAGGAAAAGTTTGGGAACCTCTGCTTTAAGTTATATTCTGAGGTTATTCATACATAAGTTCATCTGTATATTTTTATTTATTTTTATCTGTAATTTAAAAAAATTAACCTAACAAACAGATAAGTATAAGGTCCAATGTATTTTTGTACACATTTATGTTATCCAAAAAAATAAAAATAAATTATATTATGGGATAATACCAATTGTTTATTGTTTTTTATTTGAGACATCTAATTATAATCAGTAATTAAAAAAATTGTAAAAATAAATTTAAAAACCTTAATTTATAACATAACGACTTAAAATAAAAATAATTAAAACATGTTTTTACTGTAGAAATAGAGTATTGATAAATAATATTAAATGATAACAATGAAAATGACTTAAGATTTTAGACGTTATCGCCACAACTGCAAGGCATAAAAATTACCACCACAATTATTTACACGGAAATACGATATTATTTAATTGGTTTTAGTTCAATTTTATCATAAATTTATAAAATTTAAATATAACCAAAATATATAAATAACCTTATGAAACTATTTTAATTTTTAATTTTAACTTAAAAAGCATAAACATTATTACTTAATGATAATAAATTATTACCAGTCTATAATCTAATATAATTACAATATTTTAGTCCTCATTTTACAGCTAATACTTTCATATCAATTTATTTTCATATTTCATAGTATTCTCATTAGGAAAAAATTATTAAATGAGCTAATTTTTTTACCTATACAAAATTAAATGTCTTTTAAAATAAAAATATATTAAGTTTATATTATTTAAAAACGCTTAAAAATCATTTATCTGTTTAAACATAAGTATAAAAGAAAATATGTGAAAGAATGTTGCATTAAAAGGCAACCTTAAGTTAAAACCGCCTGCTTACTTATTTTTTTTTAATCAATTAAGTTGTTTTCTCAAATTCTAGAATTGAGTTCATAATGTAAATATTCAATGTTAACCATTATAAAATTGAAGAAAAATAACCTAATATCCACATTCCACATATTAACAATTTTTTTCTTAAAGAAAAAAAAATAATAATATTAAACTAATTCTATATAAGTTTGATAACAATATTGTTTTTAGCGATTATAGAACCTTTCGCTACATTAACTGTTATTAAATTATAATATAATATGTTTTTTGTTTTTTTTATCATTATTTTTAAACAATTTATATTATTTATTTTGCTATTTAACTTGTAGAGTAGAATTGTTAAAATGTTTGAATAATTTTCAATTTTTCAAATCGGATAATTGAAAATAACTAAATTATATTGAAGAGATTAAGTTTTTTTTAAAATATATTTTCAGGTTTATCAATATTTAAGTGCTCCAGTGTTATAAAGCTACCTCGGTGGCATTTATATATAAATATATTCTCTAATCATCACTTAAATTAGATAATTGATTTATAGCTATTATTAGTTGTGAATAATTATTGCTATCAATATTATTAGTTGACCTTAACAAATTTTCATAAATGGTTTCCAGATATTTTTCATTATTAGCCAGCCATCTATAAAAATAAATTAATTTTGAATTATTATAAAATAATTTGATTTCAAACACTGTATTTTTACTGGTGTAAAAACAACTGTATATATACACAATAGTTGCAAATTTAATAACAAGATCACTTACTTAAGCTCTTTTTTCTTGGCCAACTTGATCATACTACTCATCAAAAGTTTACAAATAGTTTTATTTAGAGAATTTATTAAATTTAATTTAATCTGTTCATCTTCAATATTATACAACACTTTAATTATGTATTTACTGGGTAAACATTCCGTTGAGTTCTTTTCTTCTAACATTTGAAATACAGTATCACATTTTTTCAATGTTTTTAAAATAGACTTGATATGTTCATCATCATTCAATGTACCTGAGTCAAAATAATAGGTATTAATGAAAATATTAACTAATTATCAAAATAATTAAACACATTACATACCATCAATAAATTTCATATCAAGCATTATCATTTCCTTAAGTACTCCAAGACAATCTAATGGACACCTTATTTTCAAATAGGTGTCAAATGCAAAATTATAGTAAGACCTGATCTGTGATAAACCAAAATCGACCTTTGGAGATTTCATGGATATATTTTTTCTATTAAATAAACATAAATTTGTTTAAATGTATTAATGAATTTAAAACATCTAATAAAAATATTTACTATACAATTTATTATTTTAAATAATGCACCACTAATAAACGATTACTATTAACATATTATAAAAAAGGTATTGTCTGCTTACTCTAAATTAAAATAAATCAAAGATGCCAGGCCATAGTGAATATATGCTGATCGAAACTCATATTCAAATCTATTGGGTGTATCATTTTCCAAATCACAATATTCCAATGCTTTCTTGAATAAATCAAAACATTCTTGTTGGCTTTTTGAATTGTTCTAATTTTTGAGAAAAACAATTTTGATTAAAATTTTTTGTTTAAACTCAGAAACTGTTTACATACTCGTTGAAATGCTGCATAGTTTTGAGCTGACAAATAGTACAGAACAGAAGAATTTTCATAGTAAACTGTATCCCAAAGATTTGGATTAGAACTACGATTATCCAATTCTGATAAAAGGTTCGTGTATATGTTTATAACCTTAAAGTGTAAACAATACATATATTTCATATATAAATTTAATCATTAAGCTATAGAAACCAACCATAAAATATATATTGTTTTCTTTAGTAAATTCTTTGAGCGGAATTTTAAAATTTGAATAACCTATGCTTTTGTATATGTCTGCTAAGTTTCTATGCATTTGAACAAAATTATTCATATCCTGAAGATTTTTAAATATATCAATTCCCAATTTAAAAAAATACTCTGATTTTTTTTTTAGCCATTTTAACTTTACTTTAAGAGTTTCAGTGGTACAAGTTCTTACGGCTCCTACATAAAAACACAATATATAACAATAATAAAAAAAATATTTTGATAAATAATTTATGGATTTTAAGTTATACTTCAACTTACTTATCATTTCATTCAGGTAAAATATATTAAGTTCATTGTAAACAGAACCTATTCGTTTCTTCAGTAATATTATTTTTTCAGTATTTGTCTCTAATACCAATGTACGCGTGTAAAAATATTCTGCTGTTTTTAACATGTCCTCTACTGATTTTTTGATTTTTATTGGTATTCTATTTAAATCTGAAAAAATGGAATACAATAGTTCTTATAATTTACTTTAAGTAATTACTAACAGTAAATATTATTTTATTACCTTTGTTAGTAAAGTCTTTAGAATTTTTTAGTAACATTTCTCTTATTTCAAAATCATACATTTCATCAGTTTCATATTCACTAATGTACTGTTCTATATCATTCCAATGGTTAATAAAATAGAAAAAACAATCTCCACTGTATTCTAAAACAATGTTTAAAACTTGATTGTTTTCAATATGTAATAGACATTCAAATATTCGGCGACAACATTTTAGTGCTATTCCAAAACTAGAAAACAATTTGAGTTTACTATTTAACAGTTTAAAATAATTATGACTTATCTTACTTTTTGTTTTTACGACATTTTTTGCATAAATTCAAATATACTTCAGATGCTTTAATACAGAGCATTTCCTTGAGTTTATAATAACACAAATAACTATCCTCAGCATTAAGTGGATAATTCAAAACTCTTAGTTTAGATTTAGCAATAATACAATAAAATGAATTGTCAAAACTATAAAATATTTTAATATTTTAAATTTTAAAGTTTAAAACAATTCAAATGTAATAAGTACTTTGAGATAATACTTACTTAAATTCAATATCATTTTTATTTTTAAAAGCTTTATTCTGATTATTTTGTTTCTTATTTTTCTTTTTGATACCAATCTCTAAATATTGTAGGCAATTTAAAGTACATCCAATATAATACAATGCCTTATAAAAACAACTGTATAAAACTGTTAAACTATGTGATGATATAGAACATTCAGATACTAAAAAAATAAAAATAAATAATATTAAAAATCATAAATTGTCTTTAACAATAAAAAAAATTTATGATAAATAATTACTTTGAAATATATTTTCTGTCTTAAAAGTTATATCTTCATTTTGTATATCGATAGAATAAGTCCCATTGCGAAAATCATAGGATGCAATGGCATAGTTAGTCAAATCTTTCTTTACAGTGCATAATGAATTATTATAAAGTTTAATGTAGATATCTGACAGCATGTAATTGACAGTTGCAACAACCTGAAAGTTGGTAAATAATTCTTGTAATGAGTATATTAACAAACAATCCGAGTCATTGGTAATTACTTGAGGGTGTTTAGTTTTATCTAATAATTTTAAACTGTTATTAAGTGAAGGTATTATAGTAATGCCATTATATTGATTTACGTCTTCTAAGTCATGCATTAATTTATAAGCAACACGGCATAACAACGTAGTGACAGGAAATGTAAATGGATTTGGGCTGTCAATTAATGATTCAGAACATAATGTTGTCAAATCATAAAGTTTTACTTCATCATCATCTTTTCCTGTAATATAATGGATACAAATAATAATGATGAACTATAATTTTACAAAGAATTCTGATAATGAATTAATTATACCTTTAAATAACCAATAGGTATGTCCTACATTACAAGTATTTGACTTTAGAAATGATATTATTTTTTGCATATTAACATGAATTAAATTTGGTGAAAATGTTGAACCATTCAAATATGGAATATCCTCTGTCTTCACCTGCTCATATTTTTGAACAATACCATTAATATGATAGCAAAATTCAATTTCAGGAATATCGTTCATCAAGTTTTCTAGCCAATAATCAATTCCAGTTAACATGCTTAGAGGTTTTGACATGTCTCTAAAATAAATTAAATATTATAAGTGTTTACTTACTCAGTAAAAATCATAAATTGTAATAATAATAAAAAAAAAAAAAATTAAACCTCAGTTTTGCGCTTAAAGATGAATTATTGTCATTTCTGAAAATTGGTAAGTCTGTACCAATTAATATTTGCAAGTCCTTAAAATCCCATAAAACGTTTCGGTTAAATAATCGATGTACTTTAGGAAAATCTGGAAATACTTCTTCTGGTGTAGGTTGTTTTAGTGAAGGAGAACCTAACTATACATAATTATATACACAAATCATTATAGTGAGCATTCAACTAAAATATGATGGTAATGATTTAAGTAAACTTACTGGAATAATTTCATTACAAACATTTTTTATTTGATCATTATGGAGCTCTAATCCAATGGAATGGTGCAAAAATTTTGATACCAAATTTTTATGTTCAACTCTTTTAAAATTATTTTTTTTTAAAGTGATACATTCCACCTATATTTATCAAAGCAAATACAAAGTTTTAGTTTTAAAATTAAATTAAAAACTCTTGATATCAAACTAGAATAATATTTTTAACTTTAAAATTAAGTTATACTACAATTAGGTTCATATTTTTTTATCAATAGAACTGACCATAACAATAAATAGTTTGCTATAAGTTACTTACCACAGTGCTAACATTAGTAATAAAAAACTAGTGTGAAGACTTATGTAGTGACTATTATATAATACCTATTGATAATTCAGTAGTATTATAAACTTTAGTAATAGTATAGTGTTTTTTATACTTGTCTTAGCATACTTTAATAATACAAGTTCATTAATGCATGCATATTATGTATAATTTAGTGCATATAATTCTAGACTCTAGTATAAATTAATAACTCTATTATTCACATCTACTTACCATGTGAATATGTATAAGCTTACCTTAGTAGTATCAGAAGATTTTACAATGTTGTTATAAAAGAATTTTTTTAACCAGGTCCATTCCTCAGATGTATTTTGAGTCAAATATTTTTCAATATCGAATTCATCAAATAATAATGTCTTATCAAATCTATGTACCATAATGCTAACCTTTAAAATAATTGGCATAGTTTAATTTTAAAGACAATGCAACAGAGTTAAAACGTTTTATCTATTATAATAATCAGATTATATTTATATACTGAATATGGTTTTACCAATTCATACTTAAAAAAAAATTTTTAAATGTATTGATAAAATATTTTAGCATAGAAAAATTACTTGGCAGAAATATTTAAAAAAAGTTAATATTTACTTACAGATTTCTTATTGTATGGTACTTTGCACAGATTCTTAATATTTTCTGCATTTGATATGATGTCCACTTTGCCAATGTATTCGAGGAACATACTAGCCATTTGAAAACTAATTAACATAAAGGCAATTAGAATTAAATATTTTAGTGTTTGTGAAGATTATTTTTACCTATATATCTTACCTAGAAAAACTATGATTATCACCAGACGAGTAGTGCACACCGTATGATTCAGCTTCGTTACTTAAAAAAAGTTGTGGTTTCAAATTAAGATTAGTGTTAACCTTATGACGAATAAAATTGGGTTTTCGAACTGTTGAAACCTTAACGACAGACGTTGAATTAAATTGAAAATGTTCATCATTTAAAGTACTGCGTTGGATATTTTGTTCAATCTAAACATAAAATATACAAATCATTCATAAACAACTAAAATGTAATAGTGTGCAAAAAAAAATTACAGACATCAATATCGGTTGAATGACATAAGAATAGCCACAAAATTGCGATCATAATGAAACACACAATAGAAACATGAACAGGTCATTTATTCAATAATGACAAATTCCATTAAAAATGTTTGTGAATCATTGCAAAACTCACCATGATGATTGACATTTAAAACTTTAAATGAATATGCAGACAAAAAGATGATGCACGGCGGCGTTTTGTATTCACCGACGAGTGATCTTCGGTACTTAGTCTCGTCACACACCACTGTAATAATAATATGACATCTAACGCGACTATTTGAAAAACAAATAAGTATGACAAATTACTATCGAATAACACAACGACACGACGATGACGGGCAAAGAACGCAAGAATATAAGGTTAGGTTAAAACTTCATATTGTACACCGCCGACATTTCAACAGTTAATTTAGGTTATGAATACTGCGCTTGCGCGTTATTATTTTTCCACTATCATTATACCATAGAATATAATAGAAACAACAGTTATCAAAATCCCATTATTCACTGAAAAATATTTCTATTTTCTATTGATCTTGAGCTGAAGGACCGGTATGATGTTGTAATCGTATCCGTATTTAAAATCAGAATTTAAACTCGTTCTGGTAACTAATATTTATACTATCATACGTGTAAATTGGGGGGAAAGTTTAGGGGGATTTAGTTCCCAAAAATGTGTATAGCCCCCTACTTTTTTTAAAAGTTTTTTAATAAATTTCACGTTTTTTATCAAAGAAAATTATAAAATGTACTACGTAGTTACTAAACAGGATATTCGATAGGTATGTATTATGTGAGTGTTTAAGGTTCATGTATTATGGATGAATTATGTATTGTAAATTTATGATAAAATTTAGAATGATTGAGTTACGTTCATATTATACGGCAATAACTTTTTCAATCTATTGTTGATTTTGTGAAAGGGCGCATAAAACGAGAGTGAAAGAAGCAATTACTGATCGGTGGCCACTGGCCCAAGGCGTTGTCACTACGGTTGGCAAGTCGTGCATGAGAGGAGTGCAAAACAAGAAACGTATAAAGTATGATACATAATCAACGCATACAAGACGATAACTCGATAACTCGATAAACATAAAAAATATAAAAATTACGGTTTAATGGTGATAAACACTGTATCGCCACATATCATCAAATTTCTGTAATACGATTGAATTAAAACCATAGAAAATAGATTGAAACTTTTATATTTTTCTAATGCTTCAACGCCTTCAACATAAATATTAAACACAAACAAATATCTCAGAAAAATTATTGTAAGTATCTATAATGTGTTAAATTTAATTATGTAATGATAATAATTAAAGTCTACTGTTTGTTATTTACATAATTTTAGTTCTTAAGACATAATATTAAATCGTTAAATGTATAAAGTATAATAATAATTCACAATTTCTCATAAATAGTAGAGATGTTACAGGTAGATAATTTGTTATAAACCGGGTGTTGGTTATTGGTCTAGTAAAATGTTTATTACTAACCGGGTATCGAGTATTGGCCGAGTAGAAATAGTATCCACGACTACACGACTACTGATATTAATAATATTAATTATTGGTTAAATACTTAATAATTAAGTCTTTAAATGCCTATTAATTAATAAATAATATTTATGCAATTATAATATGTTACTTAGTTAAACATAGAAACACTAATATAAATTAAGTACCTACACATTAACTAATGAGTTATTAACATAAAATCATGAAAAATTAAACAAATAAAATTATAATAGGTATTAAACATTAGGGGAGGTCTGCGTTTGGATAAATTACCTTTTTACCCGCATAAAAATAGTAGTGTGTTTGGGCAAGTTTCTTATGTGTTTGAGCGAGAAAATATAAAAGATAAAAATGTAAAAATTAAGATAACAATAATCATTATATAAAATCTATAGGGAATTTTAGATCAACCTAAATATGGCACAGTCTTATATGCAGGTCGGGCAACTAGTAGAACTCTATCATATTTTCAAATATCAGTTTGCTTGAAAACGTGAAGTTGTATATAATAGTGTTAGTGAGTTAATGTCAAATATGGATCTTAAAATTGATTATATTTTTAATACAAAACGAAATTCAAGTAGAAACTAACACAAAATGCAATGCTATAAATAAAAATATCTACAATATTCGACGAAAAGTCATATTAGAAAAACAAGAATATGTAAAAACAAGCTGGAATATGTCAGGTGAAATTAAGATTTTAGAGTATATAGTATAACGTATGGAGGTAACATTTCCAGGAAAAAAAATTTAAATTTTCATTATATTTTAACTCAACTTTTGATATTATCTCACTTACATATTGTAATGATTTAAAAAAGAAAAGTAATTAAGGGGAATATATATCAGGGGTTATTGATTATACGCCTTTAGATCAATTATAAATCATTACATTACCTTTCTTCTCCTGGCAATGACTTCTTTGTTAATGCTATAGTGAATATTTTAAATGTGGAGTAAGGTGACCAGTGCACATTGAATAATTATAAGACTTTCTTCACTTAAATACACTTATTATCTTTATTATAATTTTTTTTTAACACATGAACTATTTAATACATTCAACTTTAACATAAATTTATTTTAACACTTACGTTTTTTTGTATATCTGATCTGCGTAGTCTTTTACACTAGCTTATGATCATTTACACAAAAAGACGGGAAGAGCACTCTGTCTGGACCGGCGGTGACCGGCCCTCTTATATCGGATGTCCTGTGTGTGTGTATTTTATCTCTTATTCTTGTGATCCGACTATAGGTCATTTTATTATATTGTAATTAAATATTTAATATTTGTCTATATTAATAGATGACTTATAGCTAAAGGTCATAATTATTTATTTTATTATATAAATATTTAATTATGATTGCTTGGAAGCACATCATTACAATATTTTTTAATTTTAATAATATTTTAACATAATTAATCATGCCCGTGGAATTTACGAACAGTCCCAAATCTGTCTAAATGAGAGGGAAAATTGATTGGTAAAATACAGCATCCCAGTAGGTATATTGAAAAAAAAAGTCGCCTAAACACATGGCAATTTTCAAAAATTCGCCCAAACGCATTACACCCAAACATTAGGTACCTTGTCAGTAATTAACAAATAATATTATCATTATACAATAATAAATAATTAAAAATGTTAATAATTTTTATAACAAATCGTATACTACATCAAACATTTTAGAAACATGAATAGTATTAGTAAAAATAATGTTATGTAATTTATTAAATACAAATATGGTTAGCAAAATTGATAAAGTATTGAATTGAACGATGAATAAATATATTATTTTTTAATAATTTATAAGAAATAAAAATTTGATTTAATCTTATAAAAGTAAACAAATCTTCATAATTTTCTGTATATTTTCAGGTGAATCTATTACATTATATGTATATTATAAATGTCCCTTTTAAGTTATATGTTAAAAGAGTTGGTCTTAAACTATTGTTGAATTTTTTTTTTTATTTAAGTAATATATAGTTATAATACTTATGTTAAAATTAATAAATATAGGTATATTCTTTATATAAATATAAAGATGATATTTAATATTAAAAAAATATATATTAAGTACATAAATTATTAATGTGAGATATAAAATCTATTTTTCTTTACATAATGTTTTTTATAATATAGTTGTTTATTTTTAATTTTGAATATTTATATTTTTTCATAAACATAAATATCAAAAATTCAATTCAATAATTTTACCACTGTAAAGAAAATTTAATTTATTTAAATATTACTCTAAATTAGGTAATGATTTAAATTTTTGTTTACAAAATCTTTAGATCATACATTTTGCATGGCACCAATACTACCTATACTATCTGACTAATGCTATGGTTTACTAATAAATTGTTTTGAGCAATGTTGTCACTAGGACCTAATAAACCAAAATGAGGGCCGAGTATACAGTTCTAATCTAAAGGTTAGGTTAGGCCTTAGTCTAAATGTTAAAAAGTTAAATAGTTATCTAACAGATAAAACACTTATTATGTAAAGATAAATATTTAATTATGGTCTAGTGTGGCATGATAGTTGGCCTCAGTCACTAATATGTTCTGAGGTCAAGCATCGGTCAGCGTCACTAGCTTTCAGATGGGTGACCACCCGAGTTTTAAGTGACGAATCCATAGCTCACACACATACACACATGTATTCCAACACCACTGAAACAGACCTTACAAACTAAAAAAAACCCTATACAAAAAACCTACTGTTCCTATCCGCAACTAATAGCCTTAGTTGCTGGGCTTAAATAAGATCAATAAAATATATTTATATTTTATTATTTATTATTTTGCCTTTATAAGTATACCTACATTAAAGTTTAAAAAAAAAATTGTAGTTTTCAACAAAAAAATCTGACTATGAGATAAAATGATTTATGTTACACTAAAAAAAGTAAAAAATAAATTATATCAAAATAACTAAAATTGTCATTTTTCTCTTTAAATACTAAATTTCATAATAATTTGAACATTTTATAATGTTTTAAAAAAAAATAATGTATAATTTATATTTTAAGTATCTTTTAAGTTTCTGTAATAACAAAAATACAGAAAAAAATTTGGATGTAGGTTGTTATACCATTAAGACATAATTTTAGAACTATAAAGAAGTTAAATAATTTTTAGGTTTCATATTATTTCACCAACCAAACATACATAATATTTCAATAAAATCAAATTTATAGACATGTTTTAATGAAATGTAATATGCGCATGTTTAATTAGACAAGTTATCAAATAACTTAATTAAGGTTTGAATAATATAATTGATATAAAAAAAAAAAAATATTGTCATTTTTTTGTAGTATTTTAATAATTTTAGTTAAAAGATTACAATATATATATATATTGACATAATATTTATGATATTAGAAAAATTAAATACAATAATATTAGTACTATTATTAAGCTCAGTCATTGATTTGTGAACTATTGAAATATTAAATGTACAAAAGGTAAATATGTAGGTTAGGTTAGGTTACTCCTACACTACAAATTAGGTATCAAATGGGTCACTAATAGGTGTATAAATTTGAATTCAATGATATATCATTATAATTAAAAAACAATTTTAAGTGAAAACTGTCTATGAACTTTCACCAAGTAATATGTTTATTTTATATTACTATTTAAATCATTTATTTTACTTTTGGTATTTATAATAAGATAATAAAATTTTTTACAAAAATATTGCTTTTATTATATTATTAATATTTAATTATAAATATATATTTATGCTATATTTATCAATTTATATAACTCAAAATGTAATAAAAATATATTTATAATATCTATAAACAAATAATATTTGAAAATAAATCAAAAATGGTATTGTGTATACTAAAAATTCATAATAATATAACACTTAAAGATTAAGTTCAAACAAATAATTAACATATCACTGTGTAAGATAATTATGTCAATATATTCTTTTAATGTTCTACATTAATAATTACTTAAAAAAATAAATTTATTAATTCTATTTGATATATATTTAAACATGCAATGCTTATACTTTTAGTTGTCAATATATAGTGAGACTTTCATACTTTATATTATTATATCTTTTGGTTGGTACTAGATTAAAATAATTTTTAATAAAGCTGTATTTAAAAACTTTTATGATATTAGTAGCTTGACTTAACAAGAAAATTATATCTTAAGATAACAAAAGTATTCCAACAATTTTAGACAGGTGAAAATTTTTTTAAAAAAATTGATAGAGAATTTGATTTTTAATACTTTTATTATATGTTGTACAAACATTTTTTTTTTAGTTTTAAGAATTTTAAATATTAAATATGACATTATTATTATTAACATTTATTAAATTTTTACATTTTATCAATGAATGATTAGATTATTAAACCAAAATAATTTGATTCCAGTAAGATCTATGATATTGTTTAACATTGATAATTTCAAGTTTTGATGTAATGATAATAAATCATAGTATTTTGGAATATGAAATATAGATACAATTTTTTTAGTTTATCTGATAATCAAAATTTTACAAACATAATTGATGATTTAATTCTTAGATCAAAAAATAAACTACTCACTACTAAAATGGATATTCACTAAAATACAATATTTTTGGAGTATTTTAATTAAACTTATTTTTTTTTTTTATTATTATTATAAATGATTTACAATTCTAATAATAGATGATTTCTAGTTATTTATGGGTATTGTATTTGAATATTATTGCAAGTGTTTTAAGCATACACAAAATATATTTGAAAGCTGTTCCTACAATGATTCCAAAAGAAAAAAACAAGTATTTTGGGCTATCTGTTTAAAATGTAATACTGGTATAGCAGTAATGAAAAGTGATATTTTGAGGATGGTTTTGTTGAAAAGTAATAAATTGGACTGTCCATCAACATGTTAATTTATAGTATATAAAGCTGTTAAACATAGTTCACATTTAAGAACAGAAGTTAATTTTTACACAACAAATGCAGTAATATATATTATTACTTCTTTTAAAACTTTTAAAAAATCACCATGAATATAATTAATTACACTTTATCCAGTTCCTTCAGAAGCAACCACATCATAATTATTATTTAAACTATAGTTGTTTATAATTTTAAATGGATCACAGCTAGTAAAATGTCTAAGTAATCTAGTAGAATACAATTAATAGTTTTAAAATGTTCAATATTATTTTGTCTAATGGCCAATTTCCTATAAGCTAATCTAAGTTGTCTACCAGTTGACATATTATGCTCTCCTATAGCTTTTATACTTCCAACAAAAATTGTAGGTGATCTTAACTCAACTTATACATATTCTGTAATATAATTTAAATAATCAGGTTCAATCAACTTTGAGTAAAATTTTAGCAAAGAATTTAAATATAAAATGAAACCAATAAATCCTATTTTCAAACCTTAAACATACTTTGAGAATCAATAATTAAAATCAGAAATTTTTTTAAATTATGCTTACAGAAAGCTTTTTCTATGATTAATACATTTTAAAGATTTCGAGTTACAAATATCAAAAACATTATTAAATAGTTAAATACATTTTGCAGTAGCATCAGATTTTGAAAACTGATTTAAATTTAAGCATTATCGACAAAATTTCAAAGCATTAGTTACCAATTGGCTTAGAAGCTAAGTAGCAAGCTTAACCTTTATTTAATTTTAAGAAGACATCAGTGGCAGCTCGTGAACCGTATTAGGGGTGAGGCAGATATTTTGAAAATGTATGGGAGAAAAAATGTTGTTAAAATATAACAATGAGTTTCAAGTTCACTTTTAATATAACTCAATTAATATTTAATTCTAACCTTTAAAAATATATTAATAATAAACCATGTAATATAAACCATAAAATATTTATTTCAAATGTCATATATATATAAAAAAAAAAATAAACTTATTTCATAAATCTCATATACTAAAACAAAAATATTATAAAAATGAATCTTTTTTTCATATTATGTTTTGTAAATTAAATCTATTCTTCTGTTTTTGAGTAATGCACATTTGTCAATTATTTTTTCATAGAATTTTTCATCATTTGTTAATAAAGTGTTTATTAGATCCTTCTCAATAGAAATTGTAGCTAAGGAAGATAATCTTTCTTCTGTCATAGAATTTCTTAGATAACTTTTAATGCGTTTTAAACATGAAAATTTTCTTTCAACAGTTACACTGGAGGATGGTATAGTCAAAACAATACAAAACAGTTTATATGCTTCTTTTAATAATCCAGACTCTTCAAACTCTTTTAGTAATTTCACACATTGTTGAATACTTTGGTTATGGAATTGCTCATCAAAGTAAATAACTGACAATTCATTTTTCAATTGATCTGTATTAAATATCTCTTTATATATTAAAGTTAAACAATTAAATCATTCATAAGGAAAAGCAGTTTTGTATGATTTAAATTTGGAAGTTTCAACTAGAGATAAAAATTTTAGTTTATTTAAGTCTTGGAAACGGTCAGTCAATTGACATATATTATCCAATATTTCAAATTGTAACATTTTATACTTATTTAAAGTTTCAGTTTCAGATAACCTTTCTGACCATTTAAGAAAATTATAATTTTTTGCTTCATTAAAAAAAAAATGGACTGATCATCATTTTTTAAAAATTTTATTTTATTAATAGCTGAATTTACTTGCTCAACATAATAGGCCACATCTAAATATTTAAGTTGTAAAATTGAAAATAATGTATCAGTTATATTAAAAATGTCTTTATATATCATCATGAAAAATACAAATTCAAATTTTTTTAAGCTATTTATAAAACCTTTAGCTCCATTTATAGATTCCATTCCTGACTCTGAATTATCTCTAATACATTCAATTACTTCTAATAACTTATCTAAATTTGAAACAACAAAATTTAAAATTCTTGATTGTGTGCACCAGCTAGTCTCATTAGCTATAGGTATACACTTGCCAATAATTGTATCTAAAACAAATGTTCATTTTGGAGACTTTTTAAAAAATACAGATATTCCTAAAAGGGTTGCAAAAAATATTCGAGATTGGGGCACACAATAATTTTTTTGTTATAAAACTAGATTTAACCGATGTGCACAACAATGAGTAAATAGAGCATTTAGTGCTTCATCTCTAATTCTTTTTTTGAAGACCACTAACATGACCAGCCATAACGCTGGCCCCGTTGTAACACTGTGCTATCAACTTAGTTCTAAATTATATGGATCTAATACACTAGTTATTAAATTAAAAAGAGATTCAGAAGTTTTGCTACTACTCACATCATGGAAACCTAAAAAACTCTCCTTTAACTCACCAGTTTTTTTTACAAATCTCAAGTAATTCCACAATATCAGTTGTACCTATCATCTGATATAACAGCAAAAAAATGAATATCATTAATTTCAGATTTTATGACATCAATTATGTATTCATAAACACAGTGTATAATTTCGTTTTGAATTGTTTTTGATTGGCCTGTAAAAACATTGCTAATTTTTTCATAATGAGATAATAACTCAGCATTTTGTTTAATGAGCAAATTAAACATTTCACAAAGTTTCCCTGGTTAATAGATAAAGTGCTCTCATCATGACCTCTAAAAGCCAACTTTTGTTCACTTAATAGTATTACAATCTCAATTATTTGTAACAACACTAATCTGTTTTTTCTAACATTGTCGTTATACAATATTTTGCTTAAACGAAAACCTTCATTTAAAGCATCAATAATTGTTCCTTTATTTTTTTCTAACCAGACCAACCCAATGAAGTTATTTATATGGTCTTTTGATGCTTCATGTTTTTTAACACTTTTTGACAAGTTTTTTAAATCAAAATAACCATCAGAAGACCAAACATTTTTTACTTTACCGAGTAAAACACAAGGCCAACAATACAACCGCTGTTCATAAAAGCTACCACATAACCACTTGTGTGAATCATACCAAGATTCCTTAAAAGAACGAGAACACATCTTAGAATTAGAATTTTTTATATTTAAATTATGTAAGGAAACTACAGGACGACCGTCATCTAATATCTGACGTTTGTTACTTTCACTACGTCGAGAAAATGGTGTTTCGACTAAATTCATAATTAAATCATTAAACGGAAACATATTTAGCTATCACTCAATAAACTATAGTACAAACACTACAAACGCTAAAAACTACAAGGCACTAAGGCAGTTTGGCAGTATAAAATTGTAAATAGAATAATAAATAATAATAATTAATAATTGTGTTAATAATTATTATTTGATTGATATTTGATATGAACCAATATCCTTAGTTTGTGATAAAAGTATTGTTAAGTGTACACTTACACTACACGACATTATATCCATTATGACAACCTCTCAATTCCTATTTTTATTAGTGGAAGTTACGACGCTTCGACAAATGACTAATGGATAATGTTAACAAACTCTGAGGCCCGAATCGTTCAGCCTCATTTCATAATAAAATTCTGATTTCCCCCTCTACCATGATATATTTTATCATTGTACGGCCGTCCCATCTCGTCTGAGGCTAAATATTACTAGCCTCTCGGCACACTTCGGCTTTCATCGAGATCGTTATATCGTTCAACGAACGTCTTCGTCGTGATTTTTGATAACAGTGACGAAGTATGTAGTATGTACTATGTACTCATTGTGTACTATGATAATTTTTATTATATACGACAAAATAAATTTATTTTATATTTTAAAATGTACATTATATTATTGAATATAATATTCTAAAAGTCGATTGGAAATAACTATAACTATAGTTTATCCCTTTTCTGTACAATAGTTAGGTGAGGCTCAGCCTCACTTGCCTCCCCTGACGAGCCGCCACTGAAGACATTTGAAAGACATTCTTTTCTTGCAATATAAATAATTTTTTAGAAAATAATATTATTATTTTAAACTAAAAATTGTTTTTTTTTTCAATTAAAGTATTTTTGACTAATTTTATCATATGTGTTGGGTTTAATATTATTTTTAAATCTATATCAATATTATTTTTTGAAAAAACCTATATTTTCATTAAATCATTTATATTATAATTGCAATCTAATGCATGTTCATTGTACAATATTAGTAGAGCATCCATTAAATGTTAAACCAATAACTTTAATACATATGACATGTAATAAAATTAAGTATGACGAACAAGTTCAGCTTTTTGACTACTGTTTAATTTAGAAAAAATAACCTACCTATTAGTCATTTCCAGTACACATTATAATTTATTTTTATTTTTATTCATTAATACAACCATAAAAACAAAACAAGCAATTTCCAAGCTGTTACTATCAAGCTGTTCATTTGATCCCCACAACTGCGCAACTCCGATAAAATGTTTTCACTAACATACTTTAAATACTTATTGCATAAATTATTGGATGTTGAGAAATTTTGGTTTTAAGAAGTTTTTAAAACCTCATGAATAAAACTGGAGTCAGCATTAACATGCCAGTACCACTTACACGACTTGCACGTTTGTAGAAAAACTCTTTTTGGATATATTCATAAGCTTTTGAAGAGAAGAAATGATTAAGAAATAAAGTAAAATGGCATAATTCTTGAAAATATTTATTTGTAACTTTTTGAACAAAATTTTATAAAGCTCAATATTCAAATTTTGATAGTTCATAAAAAGTAAAAATCATACTTAAAAGTAAATGCACGTCTAAAGCTGTGTTTATGTGTCATGCCTTTATGGAATTGTTAATTCACTTAATTGTCAATATATTGCATGTGTGCTTTATGTGTATATTGTAATTGTAGTGCTCACGGTGTCCCGACAATTTAGCGCGCGACAATTGAGCGCAGACAATTGGGCGAAGACTATTGAGCGCGGGGAAAATTGGGCACTGCGACAATAATTAAGCGCTATAATATTTTACTAACTGCTGTTCACGAAATGATAAAATTATAAATAAATCTGTTCAAACAGAAATAAATGGCTGTTTTTTCCACTTTTGTCAATCTATATGGAGACATATTCAAAACACAGGACTTGCCATAAAATACCGTGAAAATTCCGAGTTTGCATTAAATATTAAAATGTTAAATGCATTAGCATATGTTCCTCCAGAGTCTGTTATTACTGCATTCGAAGACCTATTACAAACTGATTTTTATATAGAACATGAAACAATATTGACACCTTTCTTAGATTATTTCGAAGACACGTGGATAGGTCGTATAAGTCGTAACAGGCAACGAAGGTCTCCAAAGTTTTCTATAAAATTATGGAACTGTTATGAGTTGATTAAAAATGATATACCAAGGACCAACAATGCTATTGAAGGATGGCATAATTCATTTAAATCAATTTTAAATGCAGTTCATCTATCAATTTGGAAATTTATCGACGCTCTAAAAAAAGAGGAAAAGTTGAATCGCGTGAGAATTCATCAATTTATTGCAGGTAATGAACCAAAACCAAGAAAAAAAAAATACAAAGATTCAGGATTAAGGATAAAAAATATTTGTGAACAATTTCATTCTAGATCAACTGAAGAGTTTTTAAAAGGCATTGCTCAAAATATTTAATAGTTTAACTTGGCTCATAATGTATTATAAATTATACTATTCCTACTTTTTTATTTTTTTAAATTATTATTATACATTTTTTGTTTGACATTTTGTATTCAGATATAATATTATTAATCATTCTATGACTTAAATTTATTATAATATATTTTTTATTTATTTATTATTTTTTATATATTGCGCTTAATTGTCTTAGCGCTTAATTTTCGGAGCGCTTAATTGTCGTGTGCTCAATAGTCTTCGCTCAATTGTCACGCGCTCAATTGTCTGCGCTCAATTGTCGTGAATCCAGTGCTCACATCACTTATTGTTCTTAAAGTTTTAGGAAAATTAGCTAGTTAAGTAAAATTAAAATCATTGACAAAAATGGTAATTTTGATTGTCTAAAACCAAGATTATAATAACTTCTAATTATTGTTAGAAAATTAATAATTTCTATACACTGTTTTTAATATTAGAACCAATCAGGCAATTAGTTAAATTAACCGAATTCTTAATCTAGTATCTAACAATAAATGTAAAAATTTAAAAACTCAGAAATATTCTAAAATTAAAAATTATTTAAAAGCAAAATGTTATTGATAATTATTCAAATAGTAAACATATTGTATAATATAGGTTCTAAAAATACAATTATATTTTTTAGATCAAATCAATATTGGTTAATAGGGTAGTAGAAGATACCTACTTCATTAGTAAAATTTTTTTTTATCATTATAATTATAGCTGGTAGTAAATACTATAACTAAACAATCAACATTAATATATTACATGACAATATAAAATGTATAGGTAATTTTGAACAAAGATATGAACATGATAATTATTAAAAATGAAACGAAGAATGAATCATTAGAGCTGTTAATAATAATAATCACTAAATCAAGGACTTTTATGCACTAAAAATCATCAAATAAGTATTTAAAAATATGCAGTTAAATATGCTCTAAAAATTACTTTAATATTATACTAAAATATTATATTTTTTCTTCAAATATTTTATTTTATCCAATTTTATGCATATTTATATGTATACAAATAATAATAATTCAGTCGATACAAATCCAATATAATCTACCTACTGTCTATAAAGATAAAAATAAGTCTGTATCATCCTTATAGTAAATTTGCAGTTTCATATAGTTGTTGATCTTGATTTATGAAAATATTTATTAAGTGCTAATTTTCAATAAACCATTAAAATATGTACTAAACACTTAAAATATTTGATCAAAAACATTGTGAAATATATTGTATTCTTACAAAACATTTAATAAAGTTAACCAGAAAAGAATATGCAAAAGTATGAAAGTCCTTGCTCTAATAATTTCCATAATCATAATTTCATTCAACATATAACTAAACTATATTTTTACCCTAATTTTCCAACAAGTCAAGTAAAATATAGTACTAGCTACTATTCTGTTATATGATTTTTTTCTTGTTAGATTTCTTAAATAATTATAATTATGTATCTACATTCTGTAGAGTACCACTTCAAGTATGCATGCCAGTGACCAAGATTGTATGGCTTATTTTTAAATAAAAATAAGAATATTTACAAAAGTATTAATATTTTTCATCAATAATATGGTATCCCATAATTATAATTTTTATATATTATAGTTTAATGCGATTAACTATCTTAATCATTTTATATGAACTTTAAGGTACGGCAATTATTTTATTTTATTGTTTTTACTATTTACCGAACAACATATTTTTTTTAGTAGGGCTGTGTTAAGAGTATTATTAAATACTTAATAATATTTATTGAAATTTTAAACGACTTATAAAGGATAAAAAATATGGTAAAAGGTATTTTTGGTAGCTAATTAAAAAATATACAATTTTTTTTGTTACAGTATATTTCTTCTATTTTATTTTATCTTTGAAATTGACTCCTTATGGTGGAGGATTGGTGAATACAAGGTATTTCATATTACAATTTTTATTTCCTTCTTTAGCTAATGCAACAGTCTCGATTTGCATACGATCATCATCTCTGTTATAAATATATAATGTTGGAATGGAAATTTTAGAATAACTTTTAGAAAAAAAAAAGAAAAAAAAAGTTCTACTAAAAAATTAGTTTGAATAAGTCTACAAGTCTACGAAAATAATTTATTATTATAACTGAAAGTGATAAAATAGGGAAAATGATTACTGCAGTCCAAGTACTAGTTTTAATTAATTATTCGATTATAATTAAGGACTTCACAAAAATATTCAAATATTAGGTACCTAATGAAACTACATAAAATCAACTCTCTAAAAATTAAAATTGAATCAACTGATTGTAAATAGTTATATGTGAAAATAATATAAATAACATGGTTTACCTTATATTCAATTTTTAAGTCTTAGTTAACAAAAATAATTTTTTAATTATAAAATTCTTACTCTTTTCCGTGTTTTACAAAATT